TGATATGTATCGCAATACCACGAGAAGTGATTAGGATTTATAGAAAACACCATTGCAAAATAAAAAGATAACTTCGCAGAGTATGGCAGCGAAATGGCTTCGTAGAATTTGTATCGGCTATTCCGGGGTTGATATGTTGAACTTCAGAGCAGTGAGATTCCTATCTATAAATTTCGTTTTGGGCTATTTTGTTACATGGGACCGTTTGTAATCCAGAACGTTCCTGCAGCGAATCTTTACTGCTACCACGAGAGATGCGAGATGTGTACATTATTAGGCTCGATAGAGGCATAGTACCAGGTGTACTTTGTTTAGTAGCAGGCTTGCGTCGCACGATCCGATCTGGTAATAAACAAGTAATATATAATGTATGTGTACTCTTTCAATTTCAGTAATTTTAATCACTTTTATTACTATGTATATTGTCATAATGCTAATCTAGAGTGCGTCGAACAGCGGCCGTTCTAGTAATGATTTACTTTATTTGTTGGAAAGACAAAAATTGCGCACATCTTGCATAACCGTAGGTCTCCATCAGTTCTGAAAGAGGCATCGATATGTTACAAACACTTATCTGGCAACTCCGAAGGTCTGTTTCCGTCACGTTGGAACGCTTGTGTTTGTTGGAATAAAAAGTTTTGTAATAACAGCACTGAACATATTTATTTTGTTTTTCTTTGTTTCACTAATTATAGTATCTAGCTAAAATGGAGTTCTATTTTGGGCTGCATATTTATTTAGTGTTAAGAAAATATTTGTATAACTCAAACAAATGGCACTTACCTATGTAGTTAGGTCAATTTCAATGGTCAATACAATTCCTCGAATACAATTTACTATCTAAACCTACCTGAAGCCAATAGAAATCAACAATAAGGACAAGTCCACGTGCCTAGTGAGGTCTCGACATACAAGAATGCTCTGAAAGCGGTAGTACACTAACGACTGCACTTGGAACTCCTGATATCGAATTCATGACGAAATTCCGGAAGTCCTGATCTGTCATAGTTCTACTTGCTTACCCAGACCTTGTCCTCATTGGTCGGTTAGTGAAACTTTTCATCTCCCTGGTTCCGTTTGCGCGTTTCTCCTAAATGGCTACCTAAGGCGTTCGGTGCAGCAGACAAACCTTTTCCCCGCTAACAAATCCATTGAGGCTCTAACGAAGCTCTAACAGTTTACAGCCTTCCAGAGCAAAGCTAGATGATGGAAGGTATAAACTGCTGTTTGGGAGTATCTCGGACCTAAGAAATGGCTGGATGACCCAACAAAATGGCTCGACGTTCAGCTTTCATCTGGCGGTGATTTTGAAAAGGCGAGGTACACCCAATAGAAAATAGCTGTGTTCTATAGGCGCATTTAGCCTCATAATGGTTGGAACTTACTTGTAAACAAATTCGGAATTTGAATTTCTCGCACTCTCTGTTTCCGCCCGATTCTTTCTCGATGCAGGGACGCGTCGGCAGTTCTATCATATTGCTCCTTTCTAAATCGATCTGTCTTCCTCTTGGTTTTCCTACGAGGTCTACTAGACGTGGCACGCGTAAACGGCACTTCTAAGCGGTAAGGAACTCGGCCGGCGTGAATCGGCTTCTCAATCGCTGAAGTCTGCTTGCATTTGGGGCGTGCGATAGTAGTCCGTCCTTATCAGCATAGCAGCAGAATCAGGGCTGTAGGCTGCTCACTTAACGACTGCCCGCAATGACAACACCAAAGGTGGACGTTGCCTTAAACGGCCCTGAATAGATGCGTAATCAGTTTATGAGATCCGTTTAATCATTTCTCAACGGATGCAATGGGCGTCCTCCCGGGAATTGGGAAAATCGTTTCTACTAACCACATTTTGCATGTAAAAATAGTTACGCCTTATATCTATACAGTGCACTAAGATGGTGATCATTATAAAATTAAATAAGAAGATCTGGGAGATTACATGTATATATGACACTGCTATTTTTTGTGTTGCTAATAGTCCTAAGTTAAACACAAAAAAAAAAATTAAAATTCTTGCTTCATCTTTTTCGTAATGCGCAAGATAAACATTTTTGAGAGCCAGATATATTGGCCGACCAAAAATACTCGGTCACACATCATTTGTTGAAAATGATTTCTAATAGCCTGTTGTATTATTGTGTTGAAATAGTAGTGACAACACATTCATAGTAAAGTAACGTATTGTTACTCTTCGTGAAAAAAAGAGTATTATTAAAAGGTATCCGTGCAAGTCTTATGCTGTCACACGGAGTCAGCAGATCACCTAGGTGTCCTTTTCGGCATACGTTTTCATTGTCTCTACGCTAACAGGCATAAAATTTGCGAGCACAACGTGACAACAAATGAATGAATATTCTGAGTTTTGAACTAGCAATTATACCTTAGATATTATCATATATATATATATAGAATACATCAATTACTCTACAACTGAGCTGACTAACGTGAAAAATGTTTACACGGTTGGTATTTTTATACAGTTGTTTAGCAAATCTAAGCTTCAAGAGACAGCGATGTCCAGATACCAAAATTATCTGGTCCTTTACTTCTAAGTATATCTGAGTCCTTACAATATTCATATAGTAGCTCTTGCGTAAACATCCACATTTAGCTTCGTTTAATGGGAACCTTTTGTTCCATATTTTCAAATTTAGTTCTGTCTGTATTATCAGGTCGAAGGTGTCATGAAGATTACAGAAAATATAATATACTAGTACAAATGTGATAGCTTCAATTTTTAGGTACCTAGAAATGTCACTGTATCAAGCTTGTTTAATGGGAATCCTTGCTTTGAAAGGCCTTAAATGAAAATTTAATGTTAGTATCTGTTTCTTTAAGGTCTTCTACCACCGTCGAATGGAGAAGAAAGCACCCATCCATTCTTGAGACAGTTTGATGTACTTCAATTCGATTTTCTTAAATTCAAAGAAAAAGAACAGACGGGTAAACTACAAATTAGATCTATGGAAATCTGGCTTGGTTAATGTATAGCAAAAAACAAGCCTAGCGAGGCTCATTTGCGTTCTTTTTGTTCTGACAACATGTGTTATGGAAGCCGAGTAGTAGTATCAAGCGCAACTTGATTGAGCGCAACCGAATACAATTGTGTAGTTTTTGCTAATTTTCTAAGGTAGAGCTGAAAGGTTAGTCCTGTGTAATGTAAAAGTATGTGCCTTGTGCCACACATAACACTGTGTACGCGCATTCATATACCTTATGTGTACCCGTCAGAGGTCTCTCCTTGATTAGATCATCGAGGAGGCTGCTCATAAGAGACAAATCACCGCTCTGGGTTAAAAGACAATTTTCGGTTAAAAAAACTGCATTATTGTTCATTGTGATGTAAGTAGAATCTCTCTCTTCTGCATCTTAAAGTCAGTCTATTACGATTTGGCATTTACAGTTACATAGCAATATAGTCGAAGAATGTTTTTTTTTTTGTTTTTTCCGCTTCACAAGAACTAAAGATATACGAGAGTTTGGCATGGCGTTCTCCCCAGGGACTTGCGCTCACTGAAATGCCCGGGTCCAACCCGACGGTTGGGGTCCGAATCACCTCGCGCCTCCCTCGACACCTTAGAAGTTCACATTGCTGCGGGATTGTACTGTAAGTAAGCTAGGAATGAGGAGCCTGCCTTCGACTTCACTCAACGATGGAGGGACGGCAACCCTGGCATTGGTTGGAAGACTCCAACGCTCTTTCGAGGCGGCCGAACGTGAACGGCCGCTGTCGACTACACGAGCGCAGAAATGCAGCGATTGCCTTCGCCTCTGCACAAGAAGAAGCAGCGGCAGCGTTCACACAGATGCGAAACGAGGGCCGACGGGGCAAAAGGCGCGAAGATTTATTGAAAAATAAAGCCCTCACTTATGCGGAGTTACCGACGACTGCCTCATCCCTACGGCACTCGCAGACACTCGGATCTGTCACCGCGCTAGCGGCAGCAACCGTAGCACTGGTGATCTGGACAGGAGCGGCCTCTCAAAAAAACGATGGGTGTCCGGGAGTTGATAAAGGCTCCACGTCACGTCCAGCCAGTTTACTTATTACAAACGGGAGTCTATAGAAAAAAATCTGAGCGAGCAGAAGAAATTCTACGTCATCTTATAGCAGTGTCTGTTAATCATGAACTTGAACTGAATCTCACGCGGTAGAAATGGGTCGCTTGTAACTTTTCAACCATCACGCACACAACAACAATGAGCTGGACAGTATATAACTGTTGGATTGAACAATATAAATGTTGCAGTACCAAGAGTTGGCCAAAATACAACGAAGTCGTCCTGCTGATAAAGATTACGTAGGTGGATAAATGAGAAATGGCTTGATTGACATCAAATATCAATAATGACATAGCTACATGTTTAATTACTTTTTGTTGAGTAAAAATGTTATTAATATTAGATAGTTTACGATGAGCTTTTCGTAGACGAAATTCGAAATCCCGCTGTTCTGCGACAGACAAACGTTGTCCAGTTGCCGCCATCTTCCTATAGCAGAGAATATATGCGAACTACCATTTGCTCTACACCGTTAACTACGGTTCTATTCACAGCTTAAAACTATTTTTAGAACTAAAGATATTGTCGAAAGAGAACACGGCCCGTTGAGGCGCGGCACCTTTTATCATCAGGCTACCATTGACACCTGTTCCAAATACGTGACGTTGATCTAAATTGAGCAGATCACTTACGACATTTTGTTTGTTTCATCGAAGCAATTGGCTTGAATTTTAGTTTTTCTCTGACCTTTGAGAGCTTCCCTTTCTCAGAGCGTCCGAGCGTTGACGGAGATGTAAAAGCAATAAAATGTGGTTTTGAAATCTGCCATTGCAAGCATTAGTCTCTCGTGTGTACCTCGAATTACGTTTCTATAGACACTTCTTACAGTTAGAGGCAAGGTTTGAAGGTTCGTGTATAGCCGATCTATGCTAAGGCAAATAAAAACCTCACGCCAAATATTTTGCTATGGATTACGCGCACAGAGCCCACGCAACTTGGCCAAACTGCTCGCAATTGCTCATGGGGCGGAGTGGGTTGGCACAAGTGATGTACGCGACGGAAGCGACTAGTCCCATGGGAATCGAAAATTGTTGAAAGCAGCTTTGCTGAAGTGACCCAGAACTGAGTTATGTTTCAACAGTATCGGGCAGTCGTTTCTTATCTACAACGAAGAGCCTCTCCTGTTGTTACTTGGTCTATGAAAGATCCAAACCCCAGTCGTTATTCAATACATACAGCTTATCGGTGAGAAATCGAATCATCCACTTACTTACTCAGACAACTGACGGCCTACATGATGGCAAATTGTTGGGAGAAGTAAGAAATGATTGCGGCGGTTTATAGACCCAAGTTGATTTTCGATGCTGAACATGGACTACGAGCATGCCTTGTCTACTCTATAATCTGCACAAGGTAAAACAATAGTATTTCGGTGGTTTTCGTAATCATAATAAAAATATAGTAAAAACGATGGTTTAAGAGTAAAATATGTGAAACTTATAAGAAAAAAATTGAATTTCTATATTGATCCTCTTGACTTAAAATGTTTATTCCAATTTCGAGGAACGTGCAACAATGACAGGCTCTATAATTTCAACGTATGTTCATGTAAAACTTAAAATTTCTGCTTGTTATTGTTACTTAGGAAGAACACATTCTGAGAATAATCACTGTTAAAAAAATGAACCTAATTGGCATTTCTCTGTTTTTGAGCAAGAAAAAGAACTGATTTAATGTTAGTCGGTTAGGCACGTTGTTTATAAGCTTACATCCTTCTGTTCTACAATAGAAACCAATGTTCGTTTATGAAAATACCATTTATTATGTATATTCAGAAATTGCGGGCAGGAGATGATTTAGGAGCTTTCTGATTCAACTTAAGCACTATTGAAACGGTGGCAATCGAGTGTCAGTGCAAAGAATCATGATCGTTTACAAGTGTGGAACTAGTAATACAGAATTATATGTAAAAATGCTTGATATAACCGATCTGCATTTCACAAGATGTTAAACTAGAATTTCTTTTCGTAACAAGATCCTAAAAATGCAATTCCAACTACATGAAGGCCACACTTATGCTATATATTGAGTATAGTCGTGATAGCTGATATCACCTGTCGTACTCACATCTCAAGCATACACGTGTGTATGCTAAACAGGTGAACGAACAGGCAAACACATTGTTTTTTTCTATAATCCAATCCTATAAAGCTGTTCACTCGGCCATCTGTCCACCCTTCATGTTGAAAAAGTGAAAGGCATCGCGGGCCTACCGAACCATAAGAATCATTCCGAAAGATGTCACATGGTGGTGGCTGTAGAGGGATTCCGGTGAAGGCAACGACTGTCTCATTTTCCCTATGCTCCCTTTTCTATCCCAGCTTTTTCACTTCCATCCATTTACTTACGCGTTACATAGCCACCTAGCTATGGTTGGTGGCCTTGCCTGGCCTGCTCGGTTCGACAGCCCCTGCTTGATTCAGGCCGAGCGAGGTGGCAGCCCGTTGTGATCGCCCCGCTCCTGTGTAATGAAATGTATGTGAGCAAGCAACCAACGCCGCCCTTTCGAGCCATCCGCACAGCAACAAAGAGCAGCAGCCGAAAGCAAGTAAGAACCGCTGTCACTGCCGCCGCGTCTTGCTAAACGAATTTCGGGGTAAGGAACATCGAGCCGGCGAGGCACCGAGCAACCGAGCGAACGAATGAGGTCTGGCCTACTGAGAAGTCTCACGAAACCTCCTGGGAAGCCACGTGAGACTTCGCATCGGGTGGTAGCCAGTGTGGAAGGCACGGTTCTGACGCGATGCCTCTTCTTCGACTGTGCTATAGGGAATAGACGGGAAGGAAAAGCGAGAAGCAGTGGTGAATGGGGGCGTTGGTAAGACCATGTAGAAGAAGGCCCCTGGCTACAGGAGGTTATGGGCTGGGGAATGCCTATAATGCCCCTTTCCTTTTTCTCTTGAGCAAGTAAGGGACGAAGCGAAACGGGCTTATAAGGGATGTAGAGCCGACCGGGTATGTAGTTAGGGTACACTACGGGGCGTGAGGGTAGGGGGTTACCTTAGGCAGTCTTTCTTCCTCGATTCTAGCGCACGGAGACGATATATGGAGCCCATGTAGGGCGAAGGGTGGGAATTTGAAAGGGGATAACCCCTTTTTCCCCTCTTCCATCGTCCATTCTGTTGGTCGGCTCCGTGCTCCTGCTGCCGGCGAACATCGTAGAGAGGGGGGAGTCGTGCTTCTTTTAGGGGCGCAACCAGCTCTTGAGGTCGGCTAGGGCGAAGTACTACGTTGTGGAAGAGTTTCTTCTTCTCCTGACGGGAACTAGAGTGGGACGAGTGGCAGCAGTAGTAGCGGCCTATACCGCTGCGTTGTACTGCGAGACGACTTCGCCACCGTCGAAGCCGTGTTGGGATCTAGAATCAGGCAAAGAAAGGTTCTTCTTGGACGATCCAACTGAGGGAGACCAGTGCGTCGACTCGACCAGACATACAGGCCCGCTACCGTCAGGGGGAACGCGTCCCTTATGGTGCTAGAGGCGGCCTGGGGGGACCCAGTGGAGAGTCGACAAGAAGCGGGCGTTAGCCTACGAAGGTGAAAGCAAACGTTGAGCAAGGGAGGGAGCAAATGTCTCCCACCGTAGGAGGCCAGCGCAGCTAGTCAAGCAGAAAAGAGTAGGCACACAACAACGAGAACCGACCGAGAACCTAGTCGACCGGCCGGTTGTCAGTACACGAAACAACAGAAGATCTCGGGCGGCGAGGGTTCCTACGGCGGAGGTATTGGTGCTAGCGAAAGGAAAGTAACTACAAAGGTGGGGAGGTGATGGAGAGGTGAAAAGACAAAACGCTGCCAAAGAGACTCTCTTATTGCGGTTGACTTTAGCGCTAGTAACCGACAGTGGCACTACAGCTCGTGATAGTTGGGTTAGGGAACTTCTTTAGAGGACTGCTATTATTACTGCTGAGAAGGTACCACACAATTGCTGCATTGCGCGGTGCTAGAAAAACCAAATGATCCGGCGGCCAAAAGAGGACTGTGTTAAGACCTGCCAGCCTACTTCCGGTCAGCCAGTGAGACGACGTCATTGGCTGTTCCATTGCAAGCTATTTATATAGAGGGAGGAATAATAGGGATCAGTTGGCTAGGTTATGAGAGGGGGATTTTCGATGATGCGGCCAGCATGGCAGCGACTCGTTCCGCCTAAACAAGCGCTCCACAAGACCAGCATACTAACTGCTAACTTAGTTTAGCAAAGTTAAGACGTTTACCAAAGGACAAGTCTCGCCTGGCGTATAGTCAAGCAATTGTCAGAGTCTATAGTATGATACCTGCAAAAGCTTTATGCAGCACTTGTTAGATCTTCAAATAGAATGGCAATATAAAGAAATACATCGACGACTTTTAGAGAGGTAGCGCACGCTAATCATATTCGCAACGGAAAGAATTTAAAAATGGCTTTCTACCACGTTTGTTTTCTCTTACTCGAATCATCTTTTTTTAAGCTTTTTTAACTCATTTTCAATTTGGTTGAACCTGTTCAGGTAATCTTTTTAGCACTTTTTTTTTTCAATAACAGCAGTTGAATACAACGTACGTTATGTATTAAATGGGCGGGTTCTTTGAGACAGCATTCAGTAGCGTCATTAAGTATACAAAAGACCCACTTGAATATATTTCATATAAGCAATGAATACTAATGGTTCTCTATTTAGAGAAAAGGGTCAAGCCATATATAGGACTAATAAAACTGTCGATGTAGAGAAGTTTATTTATATTGCAAATGCAGTATCAGTTTGTTTCTACGAACAAACAAGTCAGTGAGTATTATGAAAAAACGTGCACGCATCGGAACGGTAGAACTGTTGTAGCGTCCACTCGTATGGAACTGTTATTGTTTTATGGTTCTTATAAACAGGAACTGAATTTTACCTAGGTGGCAATTAATACTGTTAATTTTTTCTAGACCACCTACGGTTTGAAACTTCAGTATAAGCGAGATTGTCTGTATACACTTACATTGCACTCAATTTTCATCTTTTTCGACCAATTTACTTAAATCAGCTCTGTCCAACATTAATAGCAGTACGTCGCAAAAGCTTTATCGTTGTATCCTCTCGAGCTAGTATTCGTCGCAAGTTCGATTCCTATTGTGTGTAGGCCACTGAACACGCGGATTCAGGCTGTATTTTTTCGCTGATATTGTCAAAACGTATTGATCGTTCTAAGTTGATATACGATTTGGGGGGTGGCGTCTTGATGTTCAATTTTAACGCCACTGGCTATAAGAAGGAGCTCGAGACAAACGTCCCGGCGCAATGGGGACCAGTAACAGCTTGTGGACTAACTACCCTCAGGCTGTATAAACGCAGGTCAATACACCAGACTCAATGGAGAAATAGGATGTCGCGTGTCCTATGCGAACATTGCTAGTGTTCTCAGCACAAGCAATAGATGCTGGCCGAGGACACGGGATTCTGTAATTTGTCGACCCGGATCATCATTTGAGAGCAAATTTAAAACAAGCAAACAAATTACGACAGGTGGCGACAAATATATAAACAAACGTACGAGCAAATAGTCTTTGGATCAACAGACTCTTCATCAGCTCCATCAAAAGCGTACATCAAAATGTAGTTAAGCTGCTGTTTTTTGTAAGATGGCAGTCTGAAACAGGTTGATCCGTATTAGTTGGAAAATGCCATAGTATAATAGATTAATCTATCATTTATTACATAATTCTGACATAATTAATTTTCACGTTGTGCTATTTAACGTCGTATGCCTATAAGTCTGTCTCGCCTATGCTAACATAGAAAAAAGTCGGCTCTCGTGCGCTACTAAAGTCCGCTCGAAAACGTATGGAAGTTTTGACAGATGCTGAAATAGGACCGTCCGCAATTAGGAAAAAGTTGGTCTAATAGTAGATATCTACTATCTACATGAAAATGAACAAGCTTCAGAGATGTTTGAGGTCAAAATTTCCCTTCCGTTTCATTAAACTAGGTGAAGAGGTACACGAGTTTTACTTTTACACACATTTTTCCAGCCATGATGTTTTGTTGAGGATTACTGAAAGAAGTAAACGACAGATAAATGGTAAATATGTCCTGGTGAAACGTTTCCAGTAACGAATGATCATTACCTTCTATCATTATTATTATTATAACTACTAATCTATTATGTTCGTTTGTTGCCTTATTCTGCATTTATCAGATACCTTGTGATGTCAACGAAGCAAACATCTTCATACGTAATATATCCATATAGCTATCCATATCGAATATTTGTTGTTAAAAAAACAGTTCGAAAGACATAGCGGGTTGTCACGGCTAATTTAGACTGAAGATGTACTAATTAATCTTCTCTTATTTAAATCAGTCCGGACAGGGGATATAACTTGGAATGATGTT